AACAATAAGTCTTCCATCTAAGTCAGTTTATTGCAGCCAGAGTAAAAAGTTGACATAACCTCGAAAATACAGCATTTGCGTATGGTATTTACTTCGCGTACTTTGCACTGGACAGATTAACAAAAATATTGTGGGAAGGTGTAATGTCTAAAATTTATGTTTGCAAACACTTAAATAACTTCTTTGTAAGTATTGCCCTCGAGATTCAATCATGGAGTAAGTAGAATTAATGGATTCTATTAGTGGAATATATGACTTTGAGTATCTTCATTTAGATACATACATAGTTCCACCAAAAAATGGTGTGCAATGGAGTGTTTCAAAAATTGAAAGAGTTTGGGCTTAGACCAAAAATTTGCAAAAGCCTGTTTCCTATTCTTTACCGGGAGCCCTCTCCTCACCCTTCAAAACTTTCTTGTACTTTTCCGACAACCATTAGCCTTGATCACGACAATTTCATGAATTTTCAAGAAAGCGGCCCAAATTCAGCGTACACCAATAAAACCTATCCCAGGTTATGTGTACTGAATGGTCCTGCAATGGCATTTTTACCTCCTCTATTGGCATACAAAGCTCTTCGTGCAAGTGAGTGTACGTTCACCGAATTAGACACTGTCAGCCCCGATATTTGGCAAGGAAGATTACAAGAGGTATGCGCCAGACTTCCTTGAAAATTTGAGTTAAGCAGTGGCTTTTTTAGATATCTGGAAGTCTTCTAGTCGCATGTGTCTCCTTCTTAATAATTGGTGGAACAGGAATGGCCGGTCTCTTGGCAAGGCTTATTGGTCCAATTACGATTGTTCCTCTGATGATTTTGCTCACAGCAAGTGTAGTGCCTACTGTCGAGAGCAAACTGTCACTTCATTGGATCTCATTAGTGTAAGCCACATATAGGACACTCGAAAAATCGTGATGCCGCAACCGCGCGCGATACGCTCGCATTACGAGATCTGCTCACATATGATAGAATGGACAAAAAAATATTTGGCTAAAAACTGTAAAGTCCCACAAAGTTTTTGACGTTTGATATTTACGTCTCAAACTTACTGAAATGAAAGTTTCCGAAAAAGTCATTGCAAATGCCAAAACTTATTGCGTTAAAAAACTTTCTTTGCTTTATTTGGTCGCCTACAAAGGGAGGAGAAGAAACTTAATTGAAAGTTTATTGACCATGCGAGCGAAAATTTGAAAAATCTTTCAAGTTGAGTGAAGATGTTGCGCCGTATGCCTTTGTTTATCTATCCTTATTCTGTTCGAGCAAGGTCGAAGAAATCCGCGCATTTTCGAGAAAAATTTTCATCCAGCTAAAATCGATATTTCATTCATTTTAGGATGCTTGCATGTGTTGTTGCT